GGAGTCCTGGAGGCAGGGAACTGCGTGGTAATTCCCTGACCCTTTCTATAAACCCAATTATAACCCCTACACACACACACACACACACACACACACATACACACTCACTCTACCGTTAATAGCCAATATACCAGCTCCTATACTAACTATCCACTTACTCTAAGCACACCTTCTAGGAACCTGCACAAGCATATAACCAGCACAACCCTGGCTACCACAACCACCACCACCAATCCGAAACCTCGAACATATACACGGATACCAAGAAATCGATTAATCATCAAAAAACAAAAAAAAACAACCCCCCCTGGATAAACAGACACACAGGTAGGCTGCCTCAAGAACTAGAAACTAGTCCACAAATACGGCCTGAAAATGTCACAAAAAACAAACCTCTGCCAAAAAAATAATAATAACAAAATTAATATCCCAAATAAATAACCCAGTCACCAGCGAAAAAACAAACCAAAACTCAGAGCTATACAAAAAAAGGGGGGACCAGACCATGAAATGGCACCAACGCTCCCACCCTTGTCGTCATCGCTCCCCACACAGCTATACCCCCCGGAAAATACGCCACTAACTCCACTGGCAGACGCACATCTGCCCACACCCAAACAAACGCCGCACATGACACATCGTCCCCACCTCTGAACTTCACGAGAAAGCGTGCGCTTGCTGCACATACTCTGAACTCCCGCCATCACTCTGCACTGCTGAACATAACACGTTCTCACTGTCATACCCTCATGCCCCTACAATCACTACTCTCGTACTGCAATGAGTATGCGACAACACCATCCCCGAAACGACCCGGATATGATCAACCACCACCCTCCCATCACGCCCTCCTCACCAAACAGTACCTCACGGACACACTCGACCCCCCATCAGACACGAAAAAAAAAAAACCTTGCTCTCTATCCCCCACAACACACCACAAGCACACCGGCTGTATCCCGCCATCATCACAATGCACGATCCCCCGCTTCCCTGTAAAGTCGGCCAATGGGAGCTGTTGTACCTCAGCATCAAAACTCCCACTGTTGGCAACAACTGCAGTTCTTGCGTTTCTACTCTCATCTTCTCTTCCCCCTTAGACTCGGTGCTGAGAGTGGAGCTACTCCACCCTCCATAGCTACCTGAGAAAGGAGGGTCCTATCCTCACCGATCTATTCCTTCAGTCTGATCTCCACTACGGTGGACATACGGACCTCTGATGATCCGTGGTCGGCAGAACTCAGGTTGAATAGCCTGATACTGCGATCACAGTGGGTGTACTCTCACAAGAGTCTGTGGACAGAGATGGCGGCCCTGGATGAATTTCTCGCCGAGGTTGATGCCAATGAGCACATGGTAAGTGATTACTACATACCCCCTTGCTCAACTCATACCACCACACCCTATCACTATATATATATTTTTTTGGGAGCCAGAGGATTATCACCCTCTGATGAGCCGTGACTGGCGCAAGCGGCGAAAAGCGCTTTAGGGGATGCGCCACCCCTCCTCCACTAGCCCTGCTAGTGTCTGATGGCATTGACCATCTCGCTCCCTCCTCTCTCTTTCCTTTCTCTCCCTCTCTCTCTCTCCCCCTCTCAAGGTGCTACCCGCTGAACAGTTCTATGGAGAGTGGCTACAACATCAAGGCAACTAAGGTTCGCTTCTAATGTTGCTTACGTGCTAACTATTGCAAAAATGATGGAGGTTCCCTATTTTTGGGTTGCTATGGTTGCATGAGGCACTTTTACACACACACACACACACACACACACACACACACACACACACATACACACGCACACACACACACACACACACACATACACACACACACACACACACACACACACACAAAGTTGCATCTGAACTGTGTTTTCGAGTTCCATGTGTCTGATCTTTGAGTGGGCGCTCAGGCGCCAGTCTGTTTGCCATCTGTTGTATGCATGCGAGTTGAAGAATGAAACGAGTCTGATTGCACACACGCTCATGGACTCTATCTACACACACACACACACGCACACACACACGGGGACAATACTTGTGCAGGGTGTCAGGGACACATAAACACACGCACGTTGCCCTCATCATCACCCTATGACATGCATCCACGTACAGCAACAACAACCAGAATCAAAGATAGGCTTAGATAACATTGAAAGGTGCGGTGTGAACAATAAACACGAACAATAACACAGAAAGAAGCAGAACATGCGCACTACCACCGCAGCAAATTCAGAGTGCTCAGCACAATAATGAACTGCATGTCTCTGTATCTCTCTCTGTCTCGCAATCTTTGTCTCCCACGCATCATGGTATGAAGACGACACAAGAATGAGCCACATGGCACTACGACTGAAGATAGCACATGTATCTTTCTATCTCTCTCTACCAACCTCGCAGTCCCACCGACGCGGACACACACACGAATCAAGCAAACTGCACCCCGAACAAAGAAAGGCACACGCAGATCGACACACAAAATGAAGCACATCTCGCTACTCCGCGTCATCCTCGGTGTCGTGAGAGCCATCCCCATCTCCACCAAAATCTCCACCTCTCAGACGCATAGTCACTACTGGACATCTCATCCGAGGTGTTGCCATCATCATTGTCGTCAAGATCGTCGTCGAGCACTCGAGAAGAGACTTTTCGTCTTTGTCCGTCACCTGCCTGAGACCTTGTGCACACACCGCTGACAATGCCACGTCCGGCAGGCAACCGCTCTGAAACATCGGGAGTCTCCGTATCCACATCTGCTAATGCACTCAGCGCCCATGACTGTCGGCACTGTGCACGGCCTTTGCCTGACCCACGTGGGCGGCCTTGAGGGCGACCAGTACTGACTTTCGATCGTCTGGCAGCTGGCTCACCACCTGTCTCATCCCCCCTCAATTTCCTCTTCCTGCCGACACGACTCGTCTTTGTATTGTCAATGATAACAGACGTTTGTCATGCAGGAAGCGGGGGCATGCCCAGTGGACTGATCGCACGAGTGCCAGTCCCGGGAGTGTCAAACGTCCCACGACACCTAACAAGACTAGAGCCTTGACTCAGCCTAGATGGCCCGGGTGACGGCACAGAACAAGGAGGAGGTTGGTGGGGCATGTGTACTAGACTACGAATCTCCCTCGGCGGCGGCCGTCCGCAGACAAATACGCGGCCGCGCGGCCGCGCGGCGTCGTGGTGGCCGAAACGGAGGTCCGTTCGGAAATCCGAAAACGGCTCCCGGCGGCGCATGAGCGTCCCCAGGCCCATGCATGGAAAAAAAAAAAAAAATGATTTTCGGGGGGGGTCAATTTTTGTCCCCTATGAGGGTAAAAAAAAAAATACACCCCCCCCCATTTCGCAAATTTTTCGAAGCGGGGGTGTTTGACAAGTCGCAAGGCACGTGTAGGAAAAAAAAAAAAAATTCTGGTGGTGGTTGGGGTTTCTGGGAGGGGGTTGTATTTTGGGGGGGTTTATCGTGTGTCGGGGAGGCTGGGGAGGGCAAAAGGTGTGGGGTTCGAAATAGTGGGTTGGTGGG